TCTTCTTCTTCTTCTTCTTCTTCTTCTTCTTCTTCTTCTTCTTCTTCTTCTTCAGGTATGAAATAGAGGCTATGTGATCCGATCTTTTCCCCATCATCCATTTTTCAAGTTCTCTAAGGAACTTATTCTTGGTCTACCTTTGCCACTCTCAAGTTTTGTCTCCGTATTGACACGGTTTTGATTGTTTTGGCGGTCGGGTCATATTGTTTGACCATTCTTGTGACCTAAGAGGCTGGCTACTTTCACCTGGCCCTACGGTAGTCAAACCAGGCTAAGTGCAGGACACCACCCAAGCTTCCCGGTGGAGATACGCAAATTGAGTATCTTCTGGGAAGAGTTTTACGGCGCTCGCAACACTTCCCAGAAGATACTCAGTTTGCGTATGTTCTCAACTTTTGAATCGAACTCCGGTCTTATAAGTACTAAAATGACAACGGTGCCTGGCATTCATTGTTGTAAGAATTCGAACGTTTGAATAGTGTGCAGTGACCTCAGTCACCTTCACCTTCACCTATCCCGCAGACTGGATGTCCTTCGGAGCGGTTTTGAAGATTTGGCCGCCGGCTTCCTCCACTCCTTCCGGTCTTCAGCTAGCTATTGAAAATAAAACGAGCTGTTTTTTCTGCAAATATTATTATAGTCTAGTGTCCATTTCATACTGATAAGCCTAGGGGATATTCAAATTTCATTTTTTTAAACTAGAACAATGACAAACAAACAAATAATAAAAATTAATAATAATAAAAATAATATTTGTATAGCGCATTACCCCACTCTACAGCAAGCTCCATGCGTTTTACACTATTGGTATATTGTTACCCCTGCAGAAGCATATAGTGCAAGCAGCTGATTAAGCGCTCAAACACTAACAAACTAACAAGATACCTCACTGTCTATAGCTGGGTACCCATTCTCACCTGGGTTAAGTGAGGAAAATTCCTGTAAAGTGCCTTTCTCAAGGACGCAACACCGGGTCCCTGATGGGATTCGAACCGACGACCTTACGGTTGCGAGTCTGGGAGCCTAACCACTGGGTTACTTTCTGTCTTTTCTCCCAGCGGGATGCTACTACCAAGGCAATTTCTACGCTCAGAATGAGAAGTGGGAAGACGCATGTGACTACAACTGTGAATGCGTGGATGCCTCACAAGGATTTTATCAGTGCTCTGCGAAGTAAGCTCTTTTTTACCCTTAGTTTTATTCACTGATGTGTTCTATTAATAGTATAAGTCTACTGTTTTTGTCTTACATCTTGATATCCTATCGAAAAGAGATAGAATGAGAGAGAGAGAGAGAGA